CGCCCCCCGGGCATCGCCGCGGAGGTGCCGATCCGCGCGCGCGCGCGCGCGAGCGCCGGGCGTCCCCGGTGGGATGCTCCTTTCCCGGGCCTTTTCGGCCGGCCACGTTCATCCTCGCCCCGGCGGCCGCGCCGGACCATGAGTCATCCGCACCACTCCCAGGCCCTGATCTGCCCGCCTCGCGCGCGATCTTCCCTCCCTCCGCCCCCCCTCGCCTACGCCTATCTCTCCCTCTCTCCCTCTCTCCCTCTCTCCCTCTCTCTCCCTCCCTCCCTCCCTCCCCGCCCCCCGCCCCCCGCCCCCCGCCGCTTGCACCATGTCCCAGAGCGAGCGCCTGCGCATGCGGCCGGCGCCGCCCAAGTGCCTGGCCATCTCGTCGCACGTGTCCTTCGGCGGCCGGGCCGGGCTGCGAGCCTCCATGCCGGCCTACGTGGCCCTCGGGGTGGACGCCTCCGAGGTGGGCACCTGCCATCTGAGCAACCACACCGGGTACCGGCTGTTCCCCGGGCGGGTGGCCGCGCCGGGGGAGATCCGCAGCCTGGCGGCCGGGGCCCAGGCCAATGGGCTGCTGCGGGCCGGGCCCGATGGCCGGCAGGCCGCCTTCCGGGTGGTTTGCACCGGGTACATGGCCAGCGTGCCGCAGTCGCGGGAGATCGCCGAGCTGGTGGCCGCGGCCCGGGCCGGGCCCGGGCCCGGGCCGCTGTACGTCATGGACCCGGTGCTCGGCGATGACGGGGAGCTGTATGTGCCGTCGGTGCTCCTGCCGCGGGCCCTGCGCATGGTGCTCCTGTCGCCGCAGATGTCCCGGCGGCTGTTGTGCCTGAGCGAGCCGGACCAGCTGCTGCTGCTGGGCACCGGCGAGGCCGGGACCAAGCGCGGGCTCAGCCGCGGCGGCCAGGCCCCGGCCGATGGCGGGGCCCTGCCCGGCGGCCCGACCCTCACCTACTTCCCCCAGACCCGGGTGGATGTCCTGACGCCGAATCAGTTTGAGCTGGAGCAGCTGGCCTACCCGCCGGAGGCCGGCCATGCCCAGGCCCCGGCCGCTGTGGCCGGGCTGGAGGGGCTCTGCGCGGCCCTGTGGCGCGTGCACCGGGCCTACCAGGTCCCGGCCATTGTCTGCACCTCCACCTCGTACTTGGGCTGCCGGCACCGGGACCCGGCGGCCGCCAGCGCCTGCACCTCCTCTTTCCGCCATGCGGGGGCCTCGGCCGGTGGCCCGGCCGGCGCCGGCCCCGGCGCCCCCCCGGCCGAGGCTTTCTGCTGCGAGGACTCCTGCGTGGACTTGCGGGCCTTTGTCCCGCCCGGTGGCCGGCCGGCCGATGAGCGCTTTGTCGCCATGGAGGTGGTGGCCAGCTTCATCCCGCGCGAGCGCCTGGCCCAGCTGGCGTCGGTCCTGCCGGCCGACGTGGTGGACGACGGCCCCGACGCCCCGGAGCCCGGCATTGTGGCCGCGGCCGATGTCGCGGCCGAGCTCTTCCGCCCGGTGCGCTTTGCCGTGGTCCGCCGGACCAAGTATGTGTCCGGCACCGGGGACCTCTTTGCGGCCATGGTGTCGGCCCGGCTGGCGCATGCCCTCCACGCGGGTGGTGCCTTCTCCGAAGAGTCCTTCCTAGATGGTGCGCCGGGGTGGCCCGCTTCCCGGTCCCGCCTCCGCCGCGCCCGGCATGGGTGCGGTGGACAGCCTCCCCTCCTTCCGCCCTTTCTCCTTTTGTTTTTTTTCCCGCCCTCTTGTCGCCCTTCCGCGCCCGCCCCCCCCCCCTTTCGAATGGGCCCCTGACCGTGGATTGGCTCGGCTCCGCTGCTGGCCTTGTTGCGGCTCCCCCGCCCGGGGCGGTCCAGCCGTGGAGCATGCGCTGGCCGGCACGCAGGCCGTCCTGGCGGCCACCCTCGGCCCGGCGCAGCCTCTCTCCGGGGAGGAGTGCTTCCGCGATGAGGCCGAAGACCCGGACAGCATCCCGGAGCTGGACGTCGTGTCGGACACCAGCCTCATGGCCCGGCCGCCCGGGCTGGCCGAGCACTTCTCGTGCTTGCCCTCGGGGCAGGCGCGGGAGCGCGTGTGCGCGGCCCTGGCCGGCCGGGCGGTCGCCGCCGCCGAGGCCGGCGTCTCGGGCGCCGCCTGGGGGGGATTCGCCTCGGAGGCCCGGCGCGGCGCGCGCTCCGTCTTCATCGACGACCTGCTTGTGTGAGGGGACAGCTAGACGCGCGACAGGACGCAAGGGGGGGGGGGGGGGAAGGGGGCGGGCACGGGTGCACGGCACAAACAGCATGC